AGTAGCGCGGCGCGCCGACAACACAGCTCAGTGCGGCGTGCACGGCAGCCTCGCGACAGGCTTGCGGCAATTGAGCGACCGCGGGCATCGCCGCTTGGGCGGAGTCGAACGCCCATCGCAAGGCGGCCAGAAGACAGGTCGCCCCGAGGGCCATCTGGAAGGCGAGGAAGCTACCGCTCGGCTGAGGCGGCTTGAGCCTTAATGCATGTTTCGTCGTGACAACACGAATGACGTTAGGCGGTGCCCAGACCAAGCTTGTTGTTGCCGCTGCCTCTGATTGCATTTTCCTCGTGTAGCATCCCAGTTCCGCCGATGGTAGTCCCCCGTCCGCCAGTGGGGCTGCACGTGCTGTTGTTGGCGTGGCATAGCTCGTCAGCTTTGCCTACGAGTGCTTGGTGTCGGCCACAACTCGGCAGGCTCGGAAAGAGTCTAGTGTTTATGGGCAACAGGCACCTCTTCCCAAACTGGTGGTGCAGTCCGTTCCACCATCAGCACTCCAAAAGCAAACTGGCTGGATTCCCATGCAACATGTAGCGCGAGTGGTGGTTCTTGTTTTTTTTTTGTTTTTCTGTTTTTTTTCGCACCTTTTTTATCCGAACACCTTTTTGCTTCAGCCGCCCGCATTCTTCGCCATGGGCCAGGACGAGGCGTTGCGCCGGGCAGACTCGCAGCTGCGGCTGGGTGAATCGCTCATGGCCTTTTTCGATGACCACTACGTCCTCCTGCCTGAACCAACCCGAGCGCGCACCGCCTTGGACGTGGTGACGGACGCGGTCCTTTTGCCTAGGCGAGGGGAGCCAAGCTGGCTGAGCGAGCGTGGCGCACGGTCGCCCGCGAAGCTGTTAGACCTGGAGGACACGTGGTGCCCCAACAATGGCTCGTCAACACCACCGCACCGGGTATCGCGCCTGACGATCGCAGACGCCTTGACCTCGTCATCTAAGGTGCCGCACCACCGGGCGGAGCCCTCTGCTGCGATGCGACCCTCGTCTCGCCTCTTACGCGAGCGGGTGATCCCCACTCCGGCGTGGCCACGCAAGATGGTGCAGTGCGAGTCGGGCCGTCAGCGCATGCACGGGTGCGAAGTCCGAGCTTGTATGGCCTTGTAGCCCGGTCGAAAACTGGCGCCCAGGTGGCAGCAAGCGAGCGTGAGACTAGGCGACGAAACATGTCCCCCGTTGCAATGCCACGCACGCCGCCCCCTGGTTTTGCGAATCGCAGACATGCGGGTCAACGCAACACCCTCTGCAATGTCACGCGAGACTTCAGCTTGCGCCAGCAGGTTGGCCGCCTTCGCAAGCAGTTCCATGTCATCGGCATGGCCCAATACTTTGTAGTGCTCAGCACGCGCGCCGGACAGCCCGGGCGCAGTCCTGGCTGCGGGCGACCGCGGTGGACGTGAGGCGAACGGGCATCGGCGATTGGAAGTGCAGCACCTCAGGCGGGATGGTCGCACGCGGCTGCTTCGGCCGTTTGGCTGGGTCAGCCTAGTTTCGTTTGTGTTTGGATTTAATACGGTTGAAGTCTTTGCTTTCAGTTTACCCAAGGCGTGCAACATACCTGTACAAGGCTGGTGATGTCTGCTGCTGCTGCCGCTGCTGCTGCTCCCGACTTGGGGAGAACTGCTGGGGGTGGCGGTGTCCGCACCAGGTTTGGGAACCAGCAGTTTTTTGGGTCGGGTTTCGACGGTATGGCTTCTTTTTTTATACTATGATGCTGCACATATCGACACGGCAGCCTGGCAGGGTGCTGCAAGATCAAGTCAGCTTTAGATTTTGCTTTGATTACTACTAAGGATGCGTTACGCTTGTGGAAAGTACAAGTATTTCTTCGCGTACCAGCCATATTCCCCCGTGTGCCCCACCCAAGAAGGTTGGTGAGTTTCCGATCGGCATGTGCGTGTGCTGCAAACTTGGATTCGCTCAGGCTAGTAGTGCAGGTCTCCTTCATGTTGCAGAGCCAGCAGTGATATCACCGTGGTCGGAAAAGTAGAACATATTTACAGCATGTCATCAATAAGGATTCCAAGAAGTGCGGTCCAGGTCTGAAAGCCAAACGTTACGCCAACTGAACATGAGACTCTGAACATGTTGCCTTAAGCATGCTTTTTGCCGACGAACGATTGATTTCGTCCGAAGCTTGGTACCGCAGTGGCGCTTTGTGGCATGATCTTCGGCTTGTTCCCCACACATGCTTCGAACTTAAGGCCGGCTGTTGGAAAAGCCAGATGAAGTCCCAAGGCGCAGATGGATCGGACACCCTGTTGCAGACAGGGAAGCAGATATTTCCAGGAATCATTTTGCTCTTCCTGTTCATTTCGGCGGATGCCTTTGACGACCAGTGCAGCTACGCGCTCCTGGCAATGTTTGCCTTGTAGATGGTATGTTGCCAGGATGCCATTGGTGTTAAATGCGCAGCTTCCTTTGCCAGGTCACTCTGTCGCAAGATTGTGCATTGGATGGCGGAATCTTGATACGGGAGCTGCAGCCTAACGAATGCATCTTCGGTGCAGAGCTTGGGCACATTCTTGTTTGCAAACTTTTTAAGGCATGGTGCAGTCGAATGATGGACGGTAGATTCTGAACGCGCTAACAAAGAGTGGCTGAAGCATAGAGAAACAAAGGTTCGATCGCTTGGTTTGCGCATGTGGCTTGTTGCAAGGTACAACTACGACAACGACAAGTTCTGGCACGACAAGAACTAGCACGAATAGCCAAACCTCTTCGACGACCACTTCCTCATCCCTGACCAGATCCTCCACTTCGAAGACTGGAACAACCAGCACCAGTTCTAGCCGAACCTGGTCAACCACAACGCTCACAACGACATCATCGTCTTCAAATACCCAGACGTCCACGTCACGCAGTGAAACTTCTAGCAGCTCGTCGACCAGTAGCACCAGCAGCAGCAGCTCTGTGACCACCAGCTCCAGCAGCACTAGTTCCACCTCCAGCACTACCAGCACGGCATCCAAAACTTCAAGCACATCTTCAACAGAGACCAAGACGACCTCAAGCAGCACATCCACCGAAGGAACATCAATAACTCTCACTGCTACTACCACTTCGACACTCACATCCAGCACAGGAACTACCAGCAGTAGTACCAGCAGCAGCAGGACTAGCAGCAGCACCACCCACACCAGCACATCCAGCTCCAGTACTTCGATCACAAGCTCCACAACATTTACGTCCAGCACCTCATCCACATCAACCTCTTCAACATCAATGTCGTCCACATCAACCTCAAGGCAGGCCCGGAATCCATTGAACCGTTCCATTAGGAGGTGTAGGAGGGAATGGATGGCAACGGAGTGGATCAACAGGTGCAGAGACAGGCTTCTGGCGGTAGGTCCTAAATCCGAGCTGATGGATCATGAAGCCCTGAACCGCCCGCAAACAACAACATAGAACCACGAACCAACATTAACCAACACTTCCGCGCAGATATGAGGTGCATCCGTAATTTCATCCCCCACTCCCATTCAGTCCAATCTTCCCTTCCTATCCTCCCAGCATCCTTCCTCGCTCGTACACTCCCACCTGAGCCGCAGTTCAACTTCATCCACTTCTAGCACATCAAGGAGTAGCACGTCCAGCTCAAGTTCATCCAGCTCGAGCACAACAGCGACCACCACATCCACATCGAGTACAGCCAGCTCGACGACGAGCACGTCGCTCAGCAGCACCAGCACGTCCACGACCAGCACGTCGAGCAGCAGCACGTCCACGTCCAGCTCTTCTAGCAGTACGACCAGCACATCCAGTACCAGCACATCCAGTACCAGCACATCCAGCACAAGCACATCAAGCACCAGCACCTCAAGCTCTACGAGTTCCAGCAGCAGCACCTCCACCTCTAGTACATCCACAACAAGCACATCCAGCAGCACCAGCAGTACTTCAACTACCAGCACATCCAGTTCGACGACGTCCAGCACGACCTCATCCAGTTCAACCAGTTCCAGCACCAGCACGTCAACCTCCAGCACATCCACAACAACCACATCTAGCAGCACCACCAGCACATCAAGTACCAGCACATCCAGCTCGACAACTTCAAGTACCAGCACATCCAGTTCAACCAGTGCGAGCAGCACTACATCAACCTCCAGCACATCCAGCAGTTCTACCAGCTCATCTAGTACCACCACATCGAGTTCGACATCATCAAGCACAAGCACATCCAGCACAAGCACATCAAGCACGAGCACGTCAAGCTCTACGAGTTCCAGCAGCACTACGTCAACCTCCAGCACGTCCACGACAAGCACATCCAGCAGCACCAGCAGCACTTCAACCACCAGCACATCTTCCTCTACGACGTCGACTAGCAGCACATCCACTTCAAGCACTTCGAGCACCAGTTCAAGCTCGACCAGCACCACCTCGTCGAGCACCAGCACTTCCACCTCATCTACGTCAAGCACGAGCTCAAGCACGTCTAGCTCGAGCTCCTCTAGCACGAGCACGTCGAGCTCCACCACCACAAGCAGCAGCACCTCGACTTCCACGACATCTACTACCAGCACCAGTGCAACCACAACAACTTCCTCGACCAGCAGCACGTCCAGCAGCAGCACGTCTACATCTACGACTTCTTCTACAAGCTCCAGCACCTCGAGTACCAGCAGTTCCAGCACCACCACATCTAGTTCCACCACCACAAGCAGCAGCACATCCAGTTCCTCTACTTCAAGCACAAGTTCAAGCACGTCAAGCACCACATCTTCGAGCACGAGCACATCAAGCACTAGCACTTCGACATCATCTTCCTCAAGCAGTAGCTCGAGCACATCAAGCACAAGCTCGACCAGCACCAGCACCTCGAGCACCAGCACATCCAGTTCAAGCAGTTCCAGCAGCAGTACATCCACCAGCACAACAAGCACATCCAGCTCATCTTCGACGAGTACATCGAGCAGCACCACCTCCAGTTCAAGCACAAGTTCGACCAGCACAAGTTCATCAAGCACAACCTCTTCAAGCTCCAGCAAATCTTCTTCTACCACTACAGGCAGCAGCACATCAAGCAGTACAAGCAGCACGTCCAGCAGCACCACCAGTACCTCAAGCTCGAGCACGTCAAGCTCTACGAGTTCCAGCAGCACCACGTCCACGTCCAGCACATCCACGACAAGCACATCCAGCAGCACTAGCAGCACTTCAACCACCAGCACATCTTCCTCTGCGACGTCGACTAGCAGCACATCTACTTCAAGCACTTCGAGCACCAGTTCAAGCTGGACCAGCACCACCTCGTCGAGCACCAGCACTTCCACCTCATCTACGTCAAGCACGAGCTCAAGCACGTCTAGCTCGAGCTCCTCTAGCACGAGCACGTCGAATCCACCACCACAAGCAGCAGCACCTCGACTTCGACTACATCAGCGACCAAGACGAGTACAAGCACGATTAGCTCTTCAAGCACGAGTACATCTAACACGGTAGGCAGTTCGACGACAGCCAGCACCACGAAAACCAACACGTCGAACACAGTCACATCTACAACAAGTACGACAGCGACGAGCATTACCAGCACTATCACATCTATAACCGTGTCCAGCACGTCCCTCACAGGCACGACTGCCAGCAGCATTTCCAGCAGCACAACTTCAACTAGCAGGACGACACGAACCAGTACCAGCACATCCAAGACAGCCACTTCCAGCTCTACCACCACAACTTCAAGCTCTAGTGCAACAACGTCGAGCACATCCAGCTCAACAACATCAAGCTCGAGCTCAACCTCGTCCACGTCTAGCACAACAATCAGTAGCACATCCAGCTCGAGTTCATCCAGCTCGAGCACAACAGCGACCACCACATCCACATCGAGTACAGCCAGCTTGACGACGAGCACGTCGCGCAGCAGCACCAGCACGTCCACGACCAGCACATCGAGCAGCAGCACGTCCACTGCCAGTTCTTCTAGCAGTACGACGAGCACATCCAGCACAAGCACATCAAGCACCAGCACATCAAGCTCTACGAGTTCCAGCAGCAGCACCTCCACCTCTAGTACATCCACAACAAGCACATCCAGCAGCACCAGCAGTACTTCAACTACCAGCACATCCAGTTCGACGACGTCCAGCACGACCTCATCCAGTTCAACCAGTTCCAGCACCAGCACGTCAACCTCCAGCACATCCACAACAACCACATCTAGCAGCACCACCAGCACATCAAGCACCAGCACATCCAGCTCGACAACTTCAAGTACCAGCACATCCAGTTCAACCAGTTCGAGCAGCACTACATCAACCTCCAGCACATCCAGCAGCACCGCGAGTACGACAAGCACGAGCACGGCAAGCTCTACGAGTTCCAGCAGCACCACGTCCACGTCCAGCACATCCACGACAAGCACATCCAGCAGCACCAGCAGCACTTCAACCACCAGCACATCTTCCTCTACGACGTCGACTAGCAGCACATCCACTTCAAGCACTTCCAGCACCAGTTCAAGCTCGACCAGCACCACCTCGTCCAGCACCAGCACTTCCACCTCATCTACGTCAAGCACCAGCTCAAGCACGTCTAGCTCGAGCTCCTCTAGCACGAGCACGTCGAGCTCCACCACCACAAGCAGCAGCACCTCGACTTCCACGACGTCAACTACCAGCACCAGCACAGCCACGACCAGTTCCTCGAGTACTGCTACGTCCAGCAGCAGCACATCTACTGCTACTAGTGTAAGCACAAGCTCAAGCACCTCGACCACCAGTACCTCCAGCACCAGCAGTTCCAGCACCACCACATCTAGCTCCACCACCACAAGCAGCAGCACATCCAGTTCCTCTACTTCAAGCACAAGTTCAAGCACGTCAAGCACCACATCTTCGAGCACGAGCACATCAAGCACTAGCACTTCGACATCGTCCACCTCACAGACAAGCACGAGCGTTTCTACAACTAGTTCGACAAACACAGGCACGTCGCAGACCACGACCAGTGCGACTTCAACATCAAGCACCCAATCCAGTACCTCGCAAACCAGCACATCCAGTACGAGCACAACAACAACAAGCACGTCTACAGCCAGCACATCAGGTACAACTACTTCCACGACCAGTGCCACGGTGACTGGCACCTCCAGCACTGTTACATCCATCCCGGTGTCCAGCACATCCCTCACAGGCACGACTACCAGCAGCACTTCCAGCAGCACAACTTCAACGAGCAGGACGACACGAACCAGTACCAGCACATCCAAGACAGCCACTTCCAGCTCTACCACCACAACTTCAAGCTCTAGTGCAACAGCGTCGAGCACATCCAGCTCAACAACATCAAGCTCGAGCTCAACCTCGTCCACTTCTAGCACAACAAGCAGTAGCACATCCAGCTCGAGTTCATCCAGCTCGAGCACAACAGCGACCACCACATCCACGTCGAGTACAACCTTTTCGACGACTAGCACTTCCAGTAGCAGCACCAGCACGTCCACGACCAGCACATCGAGCAGCAGCACGTCCACTGCCAGTTCTTCTAGCAGTACGACGAGCACATCCAGCACAAGCACATCAAGCACGAGCACATCAAGCTCTACGAGTTCCAGCAGCAGCACCTCCACCTCTAGTACATCCACAACAAGCACATCCAGCAGCACCAGCAGTACTTCAACTACCAGCACATCCAGTTCGACGACGTCCAGCACGACCTCATCCAGTTCAACCAGTTCCAGCACCAGCACGTCAACCTCCAGCACATCCACAACAACCACATCTAGCAGCACCACCAGCACATCAAGCACCAGCACATCCAGCTCGACAACTTCAAGTACCAGCACATCCAGTTCAACCAGTTCGAGCAGCACTACATCAACCTCCAGCACATCCACAACAAGCACGTCCAGCAGTACTACCACCACATCGAGCACGAGCACATCCAGTTCGTCATCGTCAAGCACGAGTACTTCCAGTTCCAGCACATCAAGCACGAGTTCGATCACGTCATCTACAAGCTCTTCCTCTTCGAGCACGTCCAGCAGCAGTTCGACAACCTCTGTATCCAGCACATCCAGTACAAGTACGTCGAGCACCAGTACAAGCACTACCACTCCAGTACCATCTTGCTGCTTTGCCCGCATTGTGTGCTCTGAAACATGTCGTGAAGATACGTGAAGCTGCTGCTGGCACCCAGGTCGCAAGTACATGGCTGGGGTGCCTCTGGTCCCAGGCGCAAACCAAGCGTCTTGCCATCCCTACACGAAATCTCTAAGGGTGCTCAAGCAGGGATGGCCTTGCAGGGTAAAGAATCAGACCAAGGTGATGAGCTGCCAGGGTGCCCAAGCAAATGACTGGTGTCTGGCTGATTCGAACACACACCCAGAAGGCCACGCTTCCTGCGACGCCCGGTTACCGCTTGTGTAGAAGAGGCAGTTGCTGTGCTTGTCAAACGCTGCTCCTCTCGCGAGCTTTCCAACACCAAGGACGACTCCTCAGCTGCCAAGCTTTTTTGTCCGGTTCGAGGGCAAAGCAACTCGAGCGACGATTCCATAAGCACATGCCAAGCATGTGCCACTGTGGTCGCACAAGATTGGGACGAACATGGCTACAAGCTTTTTGGCCACTCGCCTTCCATGGGGCAGCGCTTGGCTTTTTGACAGAGTGCAGCGGCCGAAGTTTTGAACACGGCAGGTGAAATTCGCTGGGGTCCTACGGCGGCCTGCCAGGCCAACGAGTCCTCCATCGAGGGCTATCGGGTCACTTGGCAGTCTTCAGAACCGCCTCGACATATAGAGGGAGAGCGACAAAACAAGCCGGGAAGTGTACCAAGTTCTGGTTGAGAAGGAGAAGCGTACAGAACAAGAGGGAGAGGAATGAGAACCAGTGTGAAAAGGTAGTAACATCCCCTTGGGGAGTGTATCAGTTTTAGGTCGCGGAATTAGGTTATGGCGCCTTGAGCTTCCACAAGCGTTGCGAATTGTGCATTTTTCACATCTGACCATGCCTCCTTGTGTGTCACTAGACATGTTGCAGAACTGCAGAGCGAAACCGGCAGGTATGGTTTGTTGACGCGTGTGGTGCGAAACTGAATCTGGTGGGCAGCGTCGGCACGAGAGAACAGGCGAGGTGTTCTTCATTCAAAGGTTGCGCAGTTGTGCCTGCAGCTGATACTGCAGGGCTGATAGTGGCTCGTACATTGTTCACACCGCAAGGGTCGGCTGATTTCCACATCCAGCCGTCTGTGCCAGGAGTGGCAATCCGAAATGATGGAATGCAGCTCGGAGAAACCCGAACATGGTAATGGTCACGCAAGACTTTAAGCTGAAAGACCATCATCACACTTTGTCCAGTGCTGTTGCTGAGGCTGTCATCCATCCTGGTATTCATTGGACCTCGGCGATATCGCAATGCCGGAAGTTGCCTTGCTGCACAGGGTTGCAATTCACGTTGCCGACGCACACCGAGCCTGGCTTAGAGGCTACCATGGGCCTCACCATCGTCCCTTATCAGGCACTCTCAGTGGTCTGCCACACCATGTCACAACCTAGCCAAGCAATGCCATTTCGGGCCAATCTCATGCCCATGCCTAGTGCGCCGGACTTGTTGGCTACTTTCCAGTCTTTTGCTGACCTTCTCAGTCTTGACAATTTGCTTCCGGTTGGATCCGTGTTTTTTTGGCATGCAAACATGTGAATCTCCAGACTTCCGCTCAATGTGATGCCCTTGGGCAGGGTGGGACTGATTTGCCCGGACCGGTTCTGCCCATCTTCAGACGCTCCAACCTCGGCAAAACCTTGCAGTAATCCAGCGGTTGGTTGCTTGTGAAAGTTGTGAGTTGTGTGCCCGTATGTCAATCCACCCGAGGTGTGTTGACGACCACGACCACATCCACCAGCTTTACACTTACCACTACCACCACGGTGCTTTGGCTTTGACCTGCATGCGCATGAGCCGGTCATATTGATATCCCATGAAAGTGATTTCAAGGTGTTTGTGTGACTTTGCTTGTAGCCTTCGATGCTCAGGGATCTTGTGACAATACACTCAGCACACACTGTGCGACTTGCAACATCTGGTCAACCAGCTGCATTGCACGACATTGTGGGCACATGCAAACCTTTTGTGTTTTCACGAGGTTTCGAGTTCCACATCGTCAACGACGATTTCGTGGCTCGTATTCGGACATTGTGAGCATCGGTTGAGTAGAGGTAGAGCTTCTCTTGGACAACTTGGATCTTCGTACGGTTCCATCCGTCGCTAGAGAGCGTGATCCTGAGGTCCTCGACAATAACGACCACACCAGGGGCAGCCACACTGGATGGTTGCTGGGGGCTTTCTGTCTCTGATGCTGCGTGGCTCGCCGACATAGTCTACGTTTCTGTCACTTTGGCAGCCCTTGCATTAGCAGCCATCTGCTTTCCGAGGACAGCAGCTGATACCCCAGAGTTCCAGGAGGCATTGCGGCAGGTGTTGGCAAGAGCTGCCGGACCGGATGTGCTGCCGGAGTATGCAGCTGGCGTTGCAACAAGATCAGGTGAGTGCATGGTCGCATCCATGCTTGCTGTGGAGCAGAGGTCGTTGATCTGAATCTTGTCGCTGGCATGGTCCCGAGAGCGGTGAGGGGAACAGAGGTAGCGGGTCCCTGCCGTAGATGTTGAGTTCAAGTTTACAGTTGGCTGACAACCTGTCAGTTTCATGTTCTGTTCAGTATGTAGTACTTCATTAGCACATCGTCGTGTTTGCCTACCACACCTTACGAGGCCTTGCCCACGGTTCTTTGAGGTTTGAGGCTTGGACCGTTTCTATTTGTGCAAGCACATTCCGCCAGATCGAAGAGTTTTTCCTCCAGGTTTCTGTGTTGGTTCACCCTCACCTGTGCCCCTGGTTGCGGCCTCGCTTGTGCACCTGAAGCCGGCTTCACCTCTGCCCTGTGCTGTGTTTGGGCTCTTGGGACCATGCTTCGCGACGTTCAAGCATCATCCCGTAAACCTGCCTCACCCCAAACCAGAGGCCGAAAACCCTGACAAGAGAAAGCCCTAAGGGGCCCTAAGCAGTGAACCCAACGCGAATCACGAAAGCTCGCGAGTCTTGCTTTTGGCAGGGAGGCAGCCCAGGGCCCGAAACCAGCATATTGTTGATCGTATCAATGTAGGGGGGTGGGGGGTGCGGGGCAGGAGGGAAGGGGGTTGGGAGGTTGAATGTGGAGAGGGGTCTTTCACTGATTGCCAACGCTGCTCCTCCTCCAACAACAACAACAACTTCTTACTCCTACTCTTTACTACTACTACTACTACTACTACTACTACTACGACCACCACCACCACCACCACCACCACCACTGAGTCACTACTGCTGCTACGGCAAGTGCAGCTCCGGCTGCTGCTGCTGCTGCTGCTACTACTACTACCACTACTACCACTACTACTACTTCTACCAGTACTGCAGCTACTGCTGCTACTACTACTGCTACTACTACAGCGACGACGGCGACGACTACTGCTACAACAACTACAACAACAACAACAGCAGCAACAACAACAACAACAACAACTGCTGCTGCTGCTGCTGCTGCTGCTACCTGTACCAGTACTAAGCACTAGCACTAGCACCAGCACTAGTACCAGTACTGGTACTGGTACTGCTGCTCCTGCTGGTGCTACTACTGCTACTACTACTACTACTACTACTACTAGTACTACTACTACCTCCACTATTCCTGCTGCCGCTACTGCTACTGCTACGACTGCT